GGTGCACACAGCTGGAGAGAAGGCAGCTGCCGCCCGCCCTCTGCCGGCCGCAGGCGGAAGAGCCGCGCTCCGCCGGGCAGCGGGCCCCGCAGCCGGGTCCCTGCAGAAGAACGGGTACCGCAGGGGTTGGAACAGGATTTTATGGAATGAAACTGGCACTGTTGAAGCTGCGGATCAAGCTTCGAACTGACTTTTGTATTTCGGGAAAGGTAAGGTATTTGTAAGGTAAGAAACTCAGTATGAGAAATGTATTTGAGCGCGCTAACAAAATCCTTCTTTCCACACGCACAGTAAAAACCAGAAGCCTTGATAAAGCTCTCGGGTTTGTAGGGAAGCAAAAGGACAAGGGCAGACCCCCACGCTCTTACCCCGGTTGCCTGAAGATGTTGCCTGAACTCATCCATCGTCGTGTTTGAGATGCTCATGTCCCTGAACATTCCTTCCAGTTTAGACGTGAACTGACATCCACATTCAGTCTAGAAACACACAAAATCACTTGTTGGGTCAGAGCTATGAAAAAAGAGCTTCTGACAAGTGAACTGCAACAGTGAGTTCATAAATCTCCTAGAAATGATATTTCTGTATGTTTGGTTTGGGATTCCCATTTGCATTACCTTCAGAACTTAGAAAATTCTGTTTCATACTTCATATAAAGATCTAACCCTACACATACCAAAACCTGCTTCCCTTCTCTTTTCTCCATTATTGTATTTTTGATTTATTTTTAGCTTTATATCTTATCTTTAAAAAAAAAAAAAAAAGTGAAAGCTTATCAGACCAAGGCAAACGCTTTCATCTGCTTTTTAGCATGATACTGTAAAGGGAAATAAATGTTATTTGTATCAGAAAAAACACCCGTTGGCCTAAGAGTTTGTAATTTTAAAGGTTTACTGCAGATTACCAAGTGGGATTACAAGACCTTTGGAAAATCAGGGACATCTGCATATACAGATACGTGTGCACAAACACATGCATTTCAGTTGCATGTACAGGACACTGTGCCAATTTCTAGCACATACTTTGACATCTGTGGTAAAGGCAAGCATGTCAGCTTCAGCATCCTAATCACTGTGCAAATCTGTAAGAAAAGGGGGCAATTTTGGTCCACTGATTCATCCTGCAAATATACGCCCTGTGCCTTCTACATCACCAGGCTAGAAAAGACAGAGAGATAATTGGGAAGGCATTAATACTAATAATTTTGAACTAACACTGATAAATTTGGAGAAATCTGATGCAAACAGGCTTCACTCACTGACAGAATATGAAGATAAAAAATGAGGATCAGTGAAGTTTGATTCTAAGATCAAATCACTCTGGTTCAGAGGTTCCCTAGCCATTTACCATGACACTTAGGAAGAATCTGCATTAGAACTTGCTTCTAGGACTGTTCACCTTTAGGCTTTACTTTCTTCTCCATCTCTTGGCCTATTTAATCAGTAAATTGAACCAACTAAGGAAAACATGTTTCCAGACACTAAGATTTTTTTTTCCCCCAAACTACTTAATCAAAAAGGAATTGAGCATTATCAGCAGTCTGCAGATAGAGGCAACTAAAAAACAATGCACGCAATAAAAAACTGTAAAAAACAGAAAATCTAGGATAAAACACAGTCTTGTCTTCAAACCTAGTCACTAGGTAACAGCAGTTGTCCTCTTATTTGGAGTCTTAAATTAAGAAAAAATTTAGTTTTGTTTTCTAGATTGCTCTCTCATCACAGATGCTTTCCAGTATTTCCTTCCTTTTACTTCCACAAAATAATTCAGAAAAGCCTTTTGTATTTTCTGTTGGGCCTTTAAAATAAAATCTATATTTAACAGCAATCAAGATGTATGTTATTTACACATCCTTATGTAAAAACAGAAGAAACCATATTTATGAAAAATGAAGTTAAAAGTATGTGGATACTGTCTTACCTTTAATTTAGATATCATATTTTTCTCAGAATCATCTGAAACACTCTTGTTTGTGAGAAGTCTTCTTGCCAAATGCTGCTTGTAATAGCGTTCAAAAACATCTTTCTCTTGCATAAACCTAAATAAAACCATTGCCTTATCCAATATAGTTTCTACTTCTTGCTCTGTTAGCTGTAAAAGAAATTATTGGCCAGTTTTAACTTTCCAGTATGAGTGTCTTATACAATAAATATTTAAAGTAATTCACAGCAAGCATATGGTCTAACACTAGCATATAAAGAAGACAACAAAACTGGTCCAGTGCTGTGAATGATAGAGCCAAGAGAACAGTGCACAAACTAATAGAGTAGAGAAAGAAATAGATCTAAAATGGGGGAAAAAGCAATGGTGAGGGAGAAGGGAGATGACGGATGCTTGGATAAATATAATAAAAGTTCCTGCATAAGTTTGTAAGTATTTAAAAAAAGCCCCAAAACAAAACACACCCACAGATGGACACCAGTACTAGGAGTATGAAAAGTCAGCTTGGAATGAAAGCTTTTAAATGCTGAGACTCATTTTGCAAAGCCTGTCTAGTGCCACAACAGATAAAAAGGTTACTTCTTTTATAAGTAAATATAATTCAGTATTTGATTCCCAAAGCATAAGATTAATGAATAATATTCAGCTTTATTCAGAGCCTCTAAAGCCTCAGCTGAACCATCCCATCCAGTTCCAGGTGCTGTTCCTCAAAAAATTTCATGAAAGAAGCTATGAGGTAGACTGAAGGTAACAGTTGTACTTAAACCAGAAGAGACAGATATGGTAATAGTCCTCTGATATGTAAAGCAGTAAAAAGAAGCAAAGACAAACTGTTGCCCCTACCCAAGTGAGTTAATTTTCAAAATAAATTATTAGATATTGAGAGTAAGTGCTAAACTATAAATATATTTAAGGAAATTATACTTAAGGGAGTTGCAGAATCTACTACAACTCAACTTTTTTTTTTTTTTTTGAGGGGGTATCTGCCAGAAGTAATCCAGGTATACTGCTTCAGAGATGGGGGACAGGCCACATATCTTGAGATCTTCTTGTGCCTTATATTTCTCTGAGTTTAGACATATAGCGTCATGAGCTCAGATGTGTTATATATACATTTTTAAGGCCGTATTGCCATTTAGCTTAATATAAAAATAACCCTTAGAAAAACAGCTTAGTTTAATTTCATCCAAGTTTACACAGCAAAGAGCATGATCTTTTAATTTAATTTATATTTTATTTACTTACTCCTTTGACTCCCTTTTTCAGCTTATCATCAATAAATAACGAGAGGTACTCTGGAGACCTAGAGTTGAGGTTGAGGAAGTACTCAAAGTCCCCCGCAATAGTCTGTTTGAAGAGCCGATCGTTATTGAAAGATTCCTGAAGAAAGCGGTCAAACCTACTCTTCAAATCCAGTAAGCCCTTTAAAGAAAAGGCAGAAACATTTTCACTGATTTGAAGTTGTAAGCTGTAAAACAGTGGTAACAGATGAAGTCATAGAGAAGACCACCTTTGCAGAAAGAAATTCTGCAAAGCTATGTTTGGCATTGTTAGAAAGTATCTGAAATTTCATTTCCATTTTTAAATATCTATAGTTACCATAAATCTCTTATAGAAGCAATTTTCAGATAAACTGGCTAAACATTGGTGTCAAATACTGCTGCAGTTTGCTGTAACAGGCTACTCAAAGACTAGGAAAGTTTTTTAATCACTTTTGTAAAATAAGCTGATTTACTGTATTTTTAAATCCACAACTTAAAGGGGGTATTTGTGGTACTTGTTAAGCCTTTTCTATTTCAAATAACATTGACAAAGTCACCATCATAAACAAAGGATACAAGAAAGACGAGACTAAGCACCCATTAACTTGCATCCCTTGAGCTACTAAACAAGTCTGAGAAGAAAACACACTTCAACAACAGGCCTAATCTTGTTAGGGCTTTTCACCCCTCTAATTTCAATCCAAGGACAAGTTCTGCATTATTTAGTCACACTTTTCTTACTCATCTTTAAGAGTCACTATGAACATATGAAAATTAGATACAAGCAATAGCTCTCCAGTTATCACAGTGTGCAGTTCACAGGCCTGAACTGAACCAGAGAACCTGAGCTAAATCATCAGATTCTTAAGATAAGTTTTAGGGTTTGCACCACCTTCACCCATTGTTAAAACAACTGAGACCAGAAGGGGGAAGCACCTTAAAATCACCTGAGCACCTTGCCGAGTAGGATACACACAGGGTTTAGACATAACTAAGACAGCACTGAGGGGGGAAAACTTAACTCGAGAGTTAAATTTGTCATGGATAATGACTGTCCACAAAAACTGTTCAGGCTAAATGACCTTAAAACCCTCAGTTTCTTAAGACATTATTTATATATGGTTACTTAAAGAAGCCATTCAAGAAATACTCAAAGAAGTAGTAACGTTTCTTAGGAACTCACCATCTCACTTAAAGGAATGGTCTTTAGACAGGCTAATTAATGCGTATTAGAAATTTTAAATTCAAAGTAAATCCCACTATCTCTCTGTTTACCAAGGTTAGCTTATGTCTCCTCTCCAGGAGTACACCATCTGAACAACCTGGTGTTAAACAGGAGAAACTGTTAGTACCTTAAATTACAACAGCATTTCAACATCCCTTCAAATTATTATAAATTTTAAACCTAATCCCCTGGCAATGCTTTTGCAATCATCTTGCCAATTATGCTCAGGGTTTGGTGATGTCACATTGCAGAAGCAGTGGTGGACTATGACAAAGTTCTTTTCTTGAAAGATTCAGATGAACATAGCTGAGATGAGAAGAGAGAAGTGGTTTCTCAGTTCACAGGTATTTTTCTCCTCCATCGTGGCAATGCAACTGGAGGATAAACCTGTTTGGGGGTTTAGTGGTAATCAAATATCAGTCCCCTCCCTAGGACATCTTCATGAGATGGTTGGGATACATACTAACGGGCTGAGAGGATGAGCTCTGCCAAAGCACATGGAATATGGCTGTAAGTCTTATTCTGCTTCATTATGCTATTCAGCTTTGTAGCAGGAAACATTGATAGCATCTTTATAATTAAGTTTTTAACTCTTCCTCAGTTAATTTTTTTATTATACCCCTTTAGGTCCATCAGGATTTAAAAGGAGTGAAAATTACTTCAGAGTAATCCAGACACTTATTGTCCACATCATTTCCACCACCCTCCCCCCCTATTTTTAAAATCATTCCACCACAAAAAACACAACAGCTCTTAATCATTAAACCTAATAAATTTCAAAGGGCATTCTTTCTTCTTTCTAACAATCCTTGGAGAGGTGATTCTTGTCCAAGCTTGGTAAGAAGTTTGCTTCAGCATTGCCAGAAAATTAACAATCCAATCAAAAATGTTTTTATACTCAAATGGCTTCTTCTCATAGTAACCAGTTTATCAAAGTTATTGATTTCAAACAAAACAGCAGAGATGATAGTAGACATAAGCATTAAATGTTTCCCATAAAGACCAGACACAAGGATATCAACTACACATTTAAAAAAAACCCCACAACCTTAACGTTTAATGAATACACATTTTCACATGTATAAGAAGTATAAAAATCTTCCAGCTATTTAAACATTTTCTTAAAGTTCAACAAACTCTAAAGATTTTATTTGCAAATTTAAAACCATCTTCTCAGAGACAGTGGGAGAGAAAAGATGACAAACACTCCTGAAGTGTATTTTGTGATCTTGATAAATAAATGGTACCCATCACTTCTTAGTGAGAGATGGAGAATAAGAAAGAACAATTACGTCTTTTAACATGCACAAGTGTTGTTTCTCAGGGAGACCAAGAATGAAGTAATTCATGATTTATAAGACATTCACCTCTCAGTCACAGTTAATCTTGCCATGAAATACTGTCATGTGATTTTTGTCTCAATGACAGTTTACATAAAATTAAACAAAACAGACACTATAAAGCTATTTGCAAGAAGATGTACACCTCTCTCTGAGGCAAGTATCATTTAGGATAACGCAAGAACTCCCCAGCAGTTAGATAATTAGCCTAAATATGTTGTTTAATAAAAGCAGCTACCAAAAGTACAAAAACTGAGCATGGACTTTCCAAGCAACTTCGGTAAAAGAAGAGTTCTAAACATGTCTGAAAATTCAGAAAATGCATGTTTTAAAACTATAAATTTAGATTAATAATAGTACTTTTTGAATCAATAGTAAGGGTTACCTTATCGGTCATGTAGTTAACTGCTACTCTGGGGAATGTGGGAAAGATGGAAGAAAAGAAAGTTAAAATATTTAACCACCTGAATGTAGTCAACTGGATTCTTTCCTTCTCCTTCTTCAGACACTAGTGCTTTGCCTTGCTCTCTCAGGTAAGAACTCATGCACTCGCACATTGTCTTCAGACCATTTGGCACGCGGCTAAACAACTTGTACATGCAAGCAAGGTCTGGAAACAAGAATGAGATATTATGCAGGACACTGTTATACTTCTGTAACTCATTCACCTCATAGCAAAAGAGGACAGTAAAATTTCCGCCACTTGAGCCACAAGAAGCATCCTGTAACAACTCAGGCACTAGAATCTTCTGTTGTCCCCTTTCCTTTACCCCTGACAACATGCTGACCACAGCAGCCACAAAATTAAAAACAAAGATTTTATTCAATTATTCTAGGCTGGCTATAGCATGGAATCTGTTACTGTTGATCCCCAGGCCAGCAAAAGCTGATGCTTGCACTAAAGTGCAGTGCACTTCAAGCTTCAGTAAGATTATGTTTTCCACTGGTATTTAAGAATGTAGCTTCCAAGACTATCATCCCAAAAATAAAATACTGTATTAAAAGTTATAGCAAAAATCAAAGTTAAAGCAAACAGGACAACACTGATGAGATGCTTATTTCTGTATTAAAAAGCAAAAACTGGTAAAAATGGGAGTTTAATTTATGTTTGTCTTAAAGTCAGTCATATAATTTTACTTTGTTTCATTCATCTAAAATAACAAGAAGTGTCTTATGTTAAACATGGCTTTCCAAAAGTACAATCCATCCTTGTACATTTATGTGAAATCTTATCTTCAAAATGCATCAAGTTACTCCCTCTCTAGTATTTAACTAAATCAAACCAAGGCCTATAAAAGCTAAACTAATTCCTGTATTGTATGAACACCCTCTTCATTATCCTTGTACCCTCAGCCTGAAGGCTACCTTAACTGGATATTAAAGAAAAAATGTTAAGGATAGCATCATCACTTTCCTTTTCAACACAGTAATTCTCCTTTCTTACAGCTAAGATATTTGCTCACTTTGTCACTCTATCACCTAGTAATTGTAAAGCTGCTTTAATGAACAAAGGCCATTAATCTGAGCAGCGAGTCTGCTCCCTATTCTCACAGCTTCAGCGTGAGCACCAATTTCTAAATATAGATACTACGGTCACTCTCTTCATTATGCTGCTTTAGAAACTTGTGTTCTGTTTCTTTCCACAGTAACTTTCATTCAGCCATTCTGTCCTATGTTAACATCTATTAGGGAAAAAACAAATCAAATCAAACCAAGCCCTTCTTTTTCAACCACTTTGATAAATTGCTTCCTATCCTTCAAAAACAGCCAACTTCTCTGTGACAAAGCCCCCTCCCCAGGAATTGGTCCTGCAGTACTTCTATGAAATAAGTTATTTACACTAGCAGTTTTTAAATAACTGCCTGTGGGCCAAAACGCTTCAATGCATTTTGACAGCTACATACTAGACGAATGAAAGTAATAAAATGGTTCATAGAAAACATGTAACAAAGACCACTACAATAGATTTGTACTTTAAGAGATACTTGGCTTACCAAAAAGGTATCTGTATTTGGTACTAAATAGAAACACATTATACATACAGGCTCTGTTTTAAGAGACCTCTAAAAGCCTTTGAAGTAATACTCTCAGATGTTTGCAAAACAGAGCCACCAAAGTGTTTTTACAATTATACAGGAACACTTATCCTATGTTTTAAAAACAGCAAGCATTTCTGTCTCCCATACAATGCAGTCTTACCTTCTGTCTTCCCGTTTTTCAGCATATGAACTAGCCCAGAGTTCTCCATTTCCACTATAGTTTTCATATGCTTGGAAATAAGCTCCCTCTCAACAACTTTCACAATTGGTTCTTCTGTTGATTTATCCAGACAATGCATCACCCGTTCTATTTCTTCATTAATTCTAGCTTCTACTTTCTTTATATATACAGAAGCACTGTTTTCAGCTAAAAATTTCTGACTTTCCATCTGTGATTGACACAAATTAATACTTTAGACTTTTTTATTAAAGGGGAAAAAGGAAATTTGCTAGTTATTTCAGATCAGCATTTATAAGCAAGTTCAACTCAAACCCAGCATGTCCAACGAATGAGATCACCATGCTCCCAAGATTTACATACATGCTTAACACAAAATACAGTTCTATTATGCTAATTGTGTTACATATATAAGGGGTACATACAATATGAACATGGTATTTTTCATACTAAAACAACCTAAGCCAACCTAGTGTCCAGTTACCAACTAGAGTTTTAGCCACAGGTCCAAAGAAAACAGAAGGACAGGGAGAGGAGAGAGGCAAAAATTCCTCCCAAATACCAGTTTATGGCATATTTATGAGTTGTGAGGATCAACAGTTCCCATTAGTTACAATGTTGAGCATATTATTTCACATCAAACTGTCTTTACCCATATTGGTTGGCATAGTCTTTTAGAAGAAAGATACTTTTTTTTTTTTTTTTAAGACAGAGAAAAGAAAAAAAAAATTTTTCTTAATTTTAGGTAGCACCAATGAAAAACAGAATAAAATGACTTGTAAATGGTTATGCAAGATATGCTTCAGATTTTCAAAGACATTTGGAGATCAGAGGATATAAAAGCTCGTCCTGCATAAGAAACGAGAGACTGACAAATTATCTTATCTAGGTATCTAGATATTTCCAACAAAAGATGAGCATGATTACACTCAACCATTCAATTGCCTTTTTCCCTGAAACTATCTCACAAAAAACTTTGGGAAATATTTGTTATTCAGTGGCTGGTAAACAACTGGATAGCCACTTGAATACACTTAATTCCTTGACTTAGTTAATTTTATTACAAAATACAACTCACAAACGCAGAAACTATGAAGGAAACAAAGCTTCCTCAAAGGTAGTTTGACAGGTAGTCTCCCCTCTCCATTCCCAGTCTGAAACAGTTTGAACCTTTCATGCTACTGTTATTTCAAAAAGATTGTGTCTGCAATGCAAGGATAGACTAAGTTGCATGAAATAGCCCAAAGCAGGCACAAGGTTAGCATGATGATTACTTTACTTGTTATTGGCACCCATAGCTCAAAACTACATTCAAATTATGGTAATTCTGTAAAATTTGTGTTACTTTTTCCGCAAAGTTAGTATTTTTTTTCTTATTTCATTTAACAAAGATGGACATACTCATCAAATAAGAAGCAATTAAAATACCACCAATTCTCACAATTACAGGCAGTTATAACAAAATTCCAAATACTGTCACATTGCTGTACCTGAAAAAATTCTGCAGACATCTCCAAAAATGGAGCCTCAAAGTCTTCTTCATAGACTGACCTTCCTTCAAGACCTAGAATCATTAACATCTGGCAAGCATTTCTTATTGCGCCTCTGCCAAAAAGTAAGTTGTTAACAACTTGAGAAATCTACAAGCTTGTAAAACAGAGTACACAGCAGAATAACAACTCAGAACATAGTATCAGCTTAAATAAAATAATAATTGGAAGTCCATCCTGAATCTGGTTGGTACATGACAGGTTTTTAAGAAGATTACAGGAGCAAGATTGAGTGTTTTTATTCTAAACTAAGGAGCTGACAATGTTTATTAAATATTTTAACTACAATGATAGGGAAGTAGGTCTCAAATTCTACTAACTGGGAAAAATATTAAGAATACATTTCAACATACAAGAAAAAAATTTAAATACACTACTTCAAAGAAGACTGAAAACTGCATATGTAGGCTGGATTTGAGTAATTAAAACAATTACACAGATAGAAGTTGCTGTGCAAAGTCTGGAGTTTTTGGTTGGTTGCTTTGGGGGGGGGGGGGTTTGTTTTGGTTTGTTTGTTTTTTAAATTAAAAAAAAAAAAGTATCAGCAAGTTAAGCATTTGGTTAGGCATAGAAGCACATCAATAAAATGTGAAAACAAAAGAATCCAGGAAAAAATTCCACTTTCTGGCAGTAGAGGACAATACACAGCTGTTGCCAGAGAGTACTTTTCTCTTCATAAGTTGCGTGTTGAACAATCTCAGTCACAGAACTGCAGCCAAAGTAGCATGGAGTTTACATATCTCCACACCCAACAGCTGCTCTGAAACTGAAGAAGCAGAAGAAAACTTGCAAATCTGAAGTTACATCAGCTGCAGTATCTGCAGTGTGTGGCACAAAACTCCACGTCTACTAAACTGTCTGGAGAACAGGAGGAACAGATTTTAGAACTCAGAGATGCAACTGAACTACCACGAAACAGATTATCAAAACATGAGGAAGGGAAAGTTTTTTTTTAAAGAGAATTAAAAAAGAAAGATTCAAAAATAAAAAAAGCATCTCCTGCCCCCAAAAAAACAGGTACAAGAAAATTAAAATCACCTCTCACTGCAGAGGAAACAGGGTAGCAAGAGGCAGAGAACTGTCAAAACTCTGCTTTATTACCAAGTGCTCTGGCACAAGGTGGTAATGGAGATATTTAGCAGAAGTTTTATTAAAAACTACAAGATAAATATTAAAAAAATATATTAACAAGCTTCCCTATTAGCCATTATGCTAAACCTTAACATACAAAGAAATATGTTATTCTAGATTACAGAGAAATTTTACTTGTGATCAGCAATGTGGCCTTAATGATTTATACCTTAAAAATTGACAGTTATTATTCACAACAAAAGACAGTCACTTACAAACATCTTACCTGTCTACAACTTCTCCTTTCCTTTCTCTTGCAATCATATCCAGCAGAGTTTGCCGTAGGTGATCCCTAATACAGCCATAGCGTACAACTTGATCTCGAAAAATAATTAAGCCCAAATTGTAGACATTCTCCACATTATTCTGTTGCACATACACACGGTCCTATGACGAAGGCATACACAGCAAGAGAATTTTAAATTCAGTACACTCATGCTTTTAAAAATTGCAAGAGATTGGTCATATTTGCACTGTACAGCAATAATAACTCACAATCAGTCCTATTTTCCAAAACTTCACTTACTTGCTTTTACAAAACTTCACAGACTGCCTTGCTTAAGAGTGTAAGCAGAGCATTTATGACTAAAGTATGCCAGAATAAATGTACAGCCTTGCCACTTTTTAGTTTGGGGGCAGGGGAATCTCCAAATACTGATAAAAATCATGGCACAATCTAAAACATGTTTTATTTATCTACTCAAACTCCTTCTATCCACTTCTTATTGTTCTTTAAGAAAAATTAATTAATTTTTACCCATCTCCTATGTATCTTCCTACCACTCCTTTTAGGCAGACAGTTCCCCCTCAGTATTCAGTGAAATTTCCTGAAATAGTATCATTAGATGAACAGAAGAAAAAATAAAGCCAAAATTAGAATAGTTCCAATTGTTTATGGATTTGTACTGCAAAACTGTACATAAGGACTTCTGTTGAACTGCCCCCACAAAAAAAAAAAAATCACTTTAATTCAACTTTAGTAAATACCTTGAAAGCTTGTTATGTTTCATTAAAATCACACACATACACACACCTCCCAAAAAAGAAAAGATGAGAGAGAAAAGGAAGAATATTTTTTATGTTTCAGTATGGGTTTAAATTCTATTTCCCTACATAATCTCAGTCTATAGGAAGGATCAAGCTCCTCAACTACCCACTAGCCCTTTAGTACCTACATTTACAAATGCAGGCTGATCCTCAGAACAGTTTTCCAAGTCCATATAGCCCACACACCATCATAGAGCTGACTGAGACACTGCTCCGCGGACACTTCGAGTTTCTTACTGCTACCCACAGAAATACTCCAAAAATTTCTCTCCCCTTCTCTATTCCTCTCTCCCAACTTATCAAATCTCTAGAAAAGGAAGACTATTAATGAAGTTACTAGCAGACAGAAAATGAACTTATTCACTTAACATCCAGTAGTGCTGTACTGGGCAGCACCATTTAAAACAACATTAACAACAGAAAACTGTTAATTTTTACAGACTATTTTGGAGAACTTCTTAAAAAAAAAAAAAAAAAAAAAAAAAATTCTGTCAGGGCATAATATTCCATTCCTTTAATGTAATAGTTTGGGTAAATACTAAAAATACTACTTTACTACCATTTAAGCCTCAGGATGATGATATTAGAAAAAGTTGAATTTTGTACCCACTCACAAAGCTGATTGTGTTAAGGTTTTCTGAGAATTTACATAGGTATAACAAAATAAAAATTTAAAGAAAAAAACCAAATTCGATAAAGGATGAAGGTCATGTTTGAAAATGAGTATGAAGATTAGCTTCTCTTCTGGTTCCATCAGTTATCTCAAGTGCTTTACCACACTTGGAATTTAAGTGTAAAGTTACTCAAACACCTAGAAAACTAAACTATTAAAAAAAAGTCATGCTTCCAACGATGGAAAAAAAATATTACAAAATTATAAGTTTTTATAAATGCTGCAACTAGGGAAAAAAAAAAAAAAAACCAACAGAAAGAACAGATATTACACCCTTTAGTATTTTAGCAGCTGAATTTACATGGCAAAATTATTCATATACTAATTATATGCCAGATTGCCACTTGATGACTAGAGGAAAGTGAAACACTGCGTTCACAATCCATGAATGTTTTCCCACTCACTCCCTTCAGACAGGCAGCACTTAATTTAAATGGAAAAAACAAGATGGGAGCAGGTCAGATATGCCTACTCTATGGCTCATGAAGCAAGCTCAGTTCTGCCTCAAAGCAAAATGTTAACTAATTGGTCTCATGAAGTCAGTTTAGTGACACATGGTGGTCTACATCTTTGGAATGAGTTACTCTATTTTTTTCTGTTATTTAGAAACAGGGTTATTTATTTCACTCCCTTATTTCACTTGCATCAAGAACAGAAGCAAATGTGATTCTAAAGTCAGACAAGCTTAAAATACACTTTGAAAGAGATGAAAGAGAAAATTAAAAAGTAGTGTCTAATATACTATATAACTTGAGGAGAAAAGAACATATATATTATTTCCAAAGGACATCCAGGCCTCTGAAGCACAGACAGCAGGGTATCAAAACGGATTAAAGCCATGGTCATGACTCATCTGCATAGCTTCTGTTGTGGCAGTGCTAAACACTGCCATTATGAAATGAAATAGCAACTGCACTAGAAACTCTTCTCAATGCAACAGCAGTGCCTCTTTAGTAAGCCAGACAACTCTACAATGCCCAAATTAGACCAGCAGCATTAATGTTTCTGATAGTGCAGATTTGCTTACCCTTGGTAACAGATCACTTTTACTGTTTACTGGAAGCTCTCCCAACCTAAAAAAAGTAATCTTAGAGACAGGAAGCCCCATTTGGGAACAGGTTTGACTGACAGGGCTACATGCTACTGAACAGCAATCACCTCCCATGGGGAGAAGCAGCAGGTGCTTAAAGGTAAGAGTAACTCTCAGGAGACAAGGGTGGGGTTTCAGATGGCAATTATTCATAAACTACAATGCTGCTTACACTGCAGAATAATTCTGATCTCAACTAAAGCAAGTTACCTACTGTAAAATATCACCAGCCACATTTTGCCCATTTCTTCATGGATGCACTACCTGAATGATGCAGCCTTCAGACACCACTGTGTATATATATAGCAAGTGTCTTTGATCCTAGTTCTGAAAATAAAACCAACGCTTCTCCCTACTACCTTGTGCGTAAGCCATATGCCAGTCATATGCCCCGAGGTCAAAACAGCCAATCTGTCAGTGCTGGCCTAAATCAAGACATCATCTTTGTGCACCACACAGATGAGAAGGGAACGCTCTGCTCTCTGCAAAATACACCGCTATATTCGCAAGAGTAATTGTTCACTTCTGACAGGGTTTAACTGGCACTACCCATATACCTATAACGCAGCCAGAGGTGGGACTGCTGTGCCTGCATTCCTGAAATGGCTTTAAATACAGAAAGTACAACTAGTGAAGAAGGGACACCACAGGATCCAGTTTAGCCCAATTTCCGAGAATACCCACGCTCCTGTCGCTTGAAGAGGAGACTGAAGAACTGCACCTCCACTGCCACTGTTACATGCAGTAGCTGCACAGAAACCATTGTTGGTAGGCTTACCTACTCTGCAGCCATAAAGTGACACTGAACTTCAGGTATGCCCAACTGCAGGACATGACTTCACTACTTCAACATGTCTTAGTACACAACTTAGTGAGGACACTACTTAGGACATGACTTCACCACTTCAGTACCTCACTGCTTGCTGCAGACAGTGCCATGAATTTACACAGGGTATTACATCTATTCTGGCACCGATCACGGTAGCCTAACCATGTAAAACAAAAGGAGGAGAGGTAGTGCACATATATTACAAAATACAGCGGAACTATATCAACTTGAAATTCAATTGTGGAAACTCGAGTATCTCAAGAAAGTTCGATTTGCCTTTATTGTGCAATTCCAGGTTGCAAAACCTCAGACTAGAACTGCATTACACAACAGACCTGAAACCAAGCAGGCTTTTGCCAGAGAGCAGCCACAACACAAGAGACAAGGTAATACACCTTTTTAAAAATGCAACTATAAGGCAAGTTTTATGAGTGTCTTGTGGAAGAGATTCTGCACATAAAATTAAATTCTGCCATAAATCTCAAACAGCAAGTATTCTAGGCATTAAGTACCACAACAATGCACAAATCCCATTGCACAAAACATGTATTTGTCTAAAAAAGATCTATTTGTATTAATTTTTATTTTAGAAGTGGCAAAATTAAACAGAGGAAAGAGCCTAAGGTGGGTTGGAGAGGTTTGTTTTGACTTAGAACACACAGGAGCTAATGGGGGAAAATAAGCTGGACAACAAACGTGGCATTAAAACAGATATAGTTTAGTTTAAGATGTACAATCACTAGGTTGAAGCAAGAATTTAAGAGAGTAAGATTTAATGGCTTTAAACTGAAAGAGGGTAGGTTTAGATTAGATATTAGGAAGAAGTTCTTTAGTGTGAGGGTGGTGAGACACTGGAACAGGTTGCCCAAAGAGGTTGTAGATACCCCCTCCCTGGAAGTGTTTAAGACCAGGGTGGATGAGGCTTTGAGCAACCTGATCTAGTGGAAGGTGTCCCTGCTGCTGGCAGGGGGGTTGGAACTAGATGATCTTTAAGGTCCCTTCCAACCCAAACCATTCTATGATTCTATGATAAGATCAGAATTCAAGAGGATGTTAAACGTTTTACTTTCACTGACAGCAGACTGTGGCTTGTTGGGTACCAATAGGTACATTTCCTGAAACTGATGGGTAAGTAATTGGGATGGCTTACAAAGTAAGAGGAGACGGACTGGGGTATCCTCTATTTATAAACATATTATAATTGCATATACTTCTGGTGGAACACAAACATATCAATTAACAATGGCTGGTGACTGAGTTTCTACGCTGTATGGTTTTTTTACGATAAAATATTTTTGAATGTAAATTATATTAGCTTGAATAAAAAGGTATAAGTAACTTCTGACATAAGCATATCACTATAAAACTACTTTAATTCAGACTCAACGTCATAAAAGAAAAACAAATCTTTCCTTATTTCATAAAGTTCTTGAAAATTGTTTCTTTGAAGAGCAGTCAGGTCTCATCTTTGACAGACATTCCTCTGCTTTATAATTTTGTGGTACTAGCAGCTTTTTCAAGCTTTTTGAATTAATACATACTCAAGACAAAGTTTCCTGCTCCTAGGCTCTTTCTAATGAACAGGATCATGTTTGACTCAACAGGACATCCCGGTGACAAAGGTATAACAGCAAATCTTTCCAGACTAGTCCCATTTTGAAACATAGTTTATACTTTAATTTGTAATCCAGGCATATATTTTCTAGTAAGAATTTGTTTCATGCTCCTCCAAGTCAGAGAAAAGGAGGCAGTCTGCCCATGGTATCAGCTCCTTGCATTAGATAGTTCTATCTTAGAAAGATTAAATTTCTAATCTTAAAAACCATGTTACATTATAGATGTTTTAACAAACAGACATCAGTGCTCCTGAAGTTTGACAAGTTTATGGAAGTATTTAGAAATAAAAAAATATATTTTTACTAGACTATAAATACATTTTATTGTAGATGTGTCTTTTCTGTTTCTTTGGGTCTCATTTTGGTACAAGGAAAAAAGCCTATGGGAGCCAAATAATTAGTCAAGTGGAGGCCTCAGTTGAACACCCACTTGAACTAATTAGGAACTATCAAACAGCACATGAAAGACTATATATTCCAGAGGTTTTCAAGTGTATCTGTTTATTATTCTGTCCTGAATCTAAAGTATAACCCAATTAAGTCCAATTTGCACTTGTAGGAATGCTGCAGGTCTCCATCTTCTGGAGCTTTGTTGGAAAAGAGAAGGCTGGCTGGCTGTTCTAACAGCACTCAAAAGCTTCAAACAGAAGTCCAGGCGTTGCTCTCCTGAGCATAAAAACTACTTCAGAAACAGCTCTCATCTCCCCCCAAAACTGCTACCTGAAGCAAGTCTTCCTCAAAGAGGATCCTTCTTGATCCTCAATATACTGGTCAATACAGTAAAACATGAACAGCTGATAAGTCAGCTTCCTCTGCCACTGTTTGAAGGATCAAAGATTTATTGAATTTAAGAGCAGCAGATAACATTGCATTACCCACTCTGACCACCTATGTACCTTGGAGCATTCAGCACACCTCCTGTCCTGGAATAATACACAGCATTTGGCTAAAACACAACAGCTACTCTCCTAGAAAGCTCTGGATTCTATCTTCTAACATTTCTGAAAATTCACCACTAGCTTTGGTAGATTATTCTAATTGTTAACTACTCTTGAATTTGCCCGGATACAGTTAGCAGCAATTGAGTTGTATTTGTCCTTCATAAACAGATTAGAGATGCCAGGATTTCTCATAGCAAAGATAGTACATCTTCAAAATAATCTCTCAATCTTCCTTTTTGCAAAGTAAGATACACAGATCATTAAGTGTCATTAAGGCATTTTATCCAGCCTTCTCTCTTCAGATATGTGGCCTTTTCCCAACTTAAAAACAAAAACACCAAAACCCCAGAACACAAAAGCCAGTAAATCCACTTAAAAAAAAAATAAAAAAATAAAAAAATTAAGCTATGTGGCTACAATAATTACTCCAAATTTTTTAATTTTTAACTTTAACTTTTTAGCTTATTAACCAAGTAGGATTTCTTCACAGCTAATGCAAATAGCTTCAATTCCATAGCACAACCTCTAACAGCTACAAGATAAAATCTTAACTTCAGTTGTTCAACAGATAGAGTACATTCTCAGTTAATAATCTTTTTTGGGGGAAAAAAAAAAAAGTGCTACCATTATCTGCCTTTCACTGTCTAATGCTGCCTAAAGTACTATCTTCAGTATGATATTTTGGAAAAAAAAAAAAGATTTTACATTAAAAAAAGCTATAGTGTCTCAACACATATTTCTTTCCTTCTGAAGTTAAAGCCTTTGGCTAGAAGCTATGCAAAAATACACTTTCCTGCAATCCTCAGAGCATGCCCAACATTCTGGGAATTTAAACATATACCAACTACCTAAAGCATAACACAATCCAGACACAAAAATGTAAGGTCCTCTCTCTTCAAAAAAGGCTTTTTCCGTTAGCCACCAGGTAAGGAATGCTTTTCTTTTTTCTTTTAAAATTACAACCATGCACCCAAAGATCACACTCTCATCTACGTACACTGCTTCATCTTGTACCAAGCTCTGTATGAACACAAAGGATTCAATTAGAATTTCAATCTCAAGGACACAGATTGTACATAAGCAAAGTTATCCTCTTCAAACTCTTAAGCTTAAAGAACAACAACAACAACACTGGAAGTTTGAGGAGGCTTTACACCACCATGCTTTCCACAGCAAGAAGACACCACTACATCAACAACCTGCCAGAGTGGGTCTGACTAGCTTATTTTTTAAGAATTGCAAAATTCAACCATTCTTCAGATGCATTTTTCAAGTGATAATGAAATAATCTGAAAGAATAATCCAATTATATTTGTCATATACCCATAACAGTCTTGCATGCACACAGGAAATTCAAACCAAGGCACAGACTGGGAAGAAGGCTGGCAAACATGCCTTACTTTTTACCCCTCTAACTTGTTTGGATACATTTGTCAAAAGACTATTTACTGCATCAAGTTAAATGTGGGAAAGAGCGGAATACCCACCATATACATCAGAATGTCTCTAATCATCACCATCGCTGTTTGATGATCATTCCATGCTTGGTTTAGTGTTTGTAGAAAGTTGTTATTCAAGGAGTTTAACACATCTTCTCGCACCTGAAGCAAAAAAGTTGTCATAAACCCAAGTCAGTTTCTCCTGCATCATTTAAATCTTAACAAGCTTTGCTTAAAAAACAAAAAAAACCACAAACAAACAAAAAAAAGTTGCTCCTCTGTGAACTTGAATATTATGAACAAGTTCTTGCTTTTCCTGGGGGCTGACCACCTCTACCTCGTATTTCACTTCTGTGGAAAAATAAGACTTCACACAAGACTTCACACAAAGAAAAATCAGGCTAAAAACAAGTGCAACAAAATAAACATGGCTATTACATTTCAAAGGAATACCTGAAATCTCAAATATTAAAAATATTTTTTTACAACTCCACAAACATTTAATTTTCTATGCTATAGTGTTTCACTTAATGTTAAATTTTACTATCACAAGTAATTTCAGAATATTGGGTAGTACCAGTAAATGTTAGAAACTGGAACAAGTACAAGTGGAAAATTGTCCATGATGACATTTAGAAAGACGTGCTGAGATAGCACAAAGTTACAGCAAACAACAGTTCTGAAAGGAAACAATCACCTGGGAAAGACCAGACCCTTACATTGGTTGTCCCTAACCACCAACACCAAGATTTCAGAGAACAAACGAAAACAATCACTGTTTTTACAAATGTATTTGCTAGTTGATTCATTTGTCCCATCAACTTCAGGTTTTATTTGTTTTTTTACACTACTACTACCTACTCAAAAAAGAACATCCAGTTTCATATTGTGATTTTCATGCAGTAGGCACGCACTACAGTGCTTGAGGTTTAAACTCATGTGAAAGAGAAACCTGAGGGAATGTAAAAAAATTATTCCAGAGTTAAAAAAAATTGGCTTTTGACAAAACATGCAGAATACATTCTGCCTTCTGTTGTAACAAAACAGAATGTATTTTTACATTTATAGATTTGCACTTATACTTGTGTGATAACATAAATTTCAGTATAGAGAATTCAAACAGGAAAACAAAACATGCAAAACACGCATGACAAGTAGCTACAAGCTGTGCCAACATCAGATACAAAAACCTGACAGAGTTTATTCTGTCATTTAAGTTTTATGAAGTTATTAGGCAAAACCAGCATAACAAAAATATTCACAGTCTACTCCATAAACTTAGGTAAACCAGAAGCATAGCACAGCATATCATACAAACACCATGGTCTCTTCTTGAGAAGCTGTGGTAACTTACCCCCTAATATTCACACTGTTATTAAATCTAGGTAATATAGGTATGCCTGTAGGTTGTTCAAAGCTCTCTGAAATCTTCAAACACCTACTCCCCAGACCTAAGCAAAGCCTCTCCTCCTTGCTTTTGGAAAACACAATATGCAGTTATAAGTCACAACCATCACTGCTTAGCTGCCTCATTCTTTCTGGTAGTGACCATCATCTACCCCTTAGTCTCCCAAATGTGCATCCTGTTGTCATCCAATCTAGGTAGGTTTTAGCTAAAAATGTAAATATGCATTAAAAACTTCACCAGCCATACTTGTAAACAGGAGGCAGAATCTCCCAGAACAAGAGAAACAAACATGACATGGTTGCTTTCACTTCTTTAGTCAGTATAGAAAAACACTGGAAACATTACTTGGTAGATCACTCACACTAGCGAAATTTATCAAACCGAAACTATGATTAGTTTACAAATGCAGAAAACCAGGGTAGGGATCGATCAATTTTACCCAGGTGTACGAGGCCATCATAGAACTCTTCAAAGATTTTTTTATTTTTAAACAACACAGGGGCAGTGTGCCTTTATAATTACACACATCCATCACAATAACCCTACTAGACCAGCCAGTGCCAAATCCCATACCAACTGGTAGCAAAAGGCGGTGTTTGCCACCAGGTAGCAATGACAACTTGCTTCCAAGCAGACATAGGAATGCTCAGATCTGCGCCACCTCGGCTCCATACAGTGTACCATGTGGTTTTCTGGAAATGTGTTTTAAATCCAGGAATGGGTGCTGTACAACAAAACTACTCTAAGAGTTCCTGTGAAGCTTCTGAATGACATTCTCCTAGGTTTATTTTAAGCTGTCGACAGGTTTGGGAAGCCATTCTTTTAGTTGCTACGAAAGCCAACCAAATCATCGCTTACAACAGCTGCCTAGTTAATAAGCACTGAACTTGTTCCTTGTATGGGTCACGAGTACAACGATATTGCAGAAAACTTACTATAATGCACAAAACATCTTAGCCATGCAAAGGTGCAGAGTCAAACCACTTGGGTGGAATAAATGACTTGTAGTAAAAAACCCTGGATATCCACACTCTTCCATAGAGAAGCAAGCCCTTCAGAGACGTGGGTGCTGCTCTTCCAAAGCCTTAAGAAAATTTCAATCACAAAGATTTTTATCAGTAGAATGCTACTTTCAAATAGTTGAGCTTGCAGTGATTTCTATGATAATCTCTGCAGTTGCAGTAAATTGGCAAGCATAGCAGGCTTAAATAGGACTGTCCATATACAGTCTTAAAAATAAATTAGCAGCTTCATAATTGCTCATCTATGTAAGGGCTTCTTATATTTGCAAGGATGAAATCTTGTATGTAACTTCAGGTCCAACTGTATTTTATACTGGATATAGCTCTTAATAAAATACAGCACCCTCCCCCACCAATCTCTTAAGAACAGTTTGTTGGCAGAAGCTTTCAATACCTTTAAATAACTCTCTATTAAGTGTACACAAAGCAGACTTATGGCCTAGTATTCTCTCTCTTACAGTGCCTGGCCTGACGCAGCAGCACAAATAGTTCAATTATGTAATTTCCACTACTGTAAGGACAGCCAGAACCTTCTGTGGGGACCAGCAGCATAGAACGGCACTTCCTGAACTAAGGCCTCAAGGTCTCCCAAGTTTTATTACAAAGTTTCTTCATCTTCTACAAAAGTCCAAGTAGTAGAAAAGACAGTATTCTAAAATCTTAGAGTTCCGGATAAGTTAACAGATTAACTATGACTTTACCAGAAATGCCTGTTCACCCCTGCAGCTGCTATCCTTTTGCTGAAAGAAAAAAAACCCAAACCACTGAAGAACATTGATGATTCTGAATTGCATTTAGTTTCTGGCCATTTCCTCACATCCTTTTACCCTCCACATAACTGCAGACTTGCACAAGATCAACTTAAAACACCATTAAGGAAAGATAAAGGCAGAAAACTATATATCATCAGTCAGGCTTACAGTACATTCTAATGCTCACTAATTAATGACTCCTACCTGTCTCCTCATGTCATTCCTCCCTGTTTCACAGATGTTATGGAAATAATTTCAAACTCCCTATAGGAGATTCTTATCTTCTCTCTCCCCTTCTCTCTGCAACACCACCACAGCAAATCTGAAAGCTTGCCAAGGATCCTAGACACACCTTTATAAGCCCCAAAGCAGACATGCTTCCTCTATCCAATACCTTCGGCACCAGCACCCCATACAACTTCTTTTGCGCTTAACAACACTGGCACAACTGGCTCCACGTCCCCCTTTCCGAAGGCTTTCTTGCATGCCTGCCTTTATTATTATTATTCTGAAATAACATGCATATACAAGAACAAGGCACAAAAAGCCTCAGCCACATGCCACATCTTATATGAATTGTACAGATTATGAATGCACAGATGATGAAAACAGAAGTGGTTTAGAGTGACAGATGTGCCACAATTATAAAACAGAGCCATAAATTATTTAGCCATCCATACAGGATGTTTCATCTCGTGAAAACAGTAAAAGCCCCATATTCAAAGCAGTTTTAGACTATACTTGTCTGGACCACACCTTTGAAAATTAAGATTTTAGAAAAGAAATAACACACTTCTCTGCCACAGCAGTAACTCCACTTAGAACACGCAAAAGGCTCCCCAAGCATTATGCATTTTTTAAACATAAACTTCCCATCCATTCTCTGTAATTCAGCCAGAAGCAATCATCCAAGACACACAATGGTGTATGATTTTCCTTTTCAAATGTCCTAATAACAGGTCAAAAATCTGATACTCCATTTGGACCCACACACAGGATTAAAGTGGACATGTGTCTCTTCAGAGACAGGCAGCTGGGGATGTTACCGCAAGGAATAATAAGGCATTTTCCCTAGACTTAGGATCCTATTACCACTAAGTAATATCTGGACTTCTAAAATGTGAGGTTTAACTTTTTTTCAATTATATACTTATTAATCAACCCTAAACTTTCCTCACAAAAACTGAATAGGAGGTTGCCTGGTTTAACATGAGATGTGAAGAGTCCTTTTCTTAGAAGATGCATCTTCAGAAACAAGAAGCTTCCGCATGTCATGTTGACTGCATTCTATGGTTTTGAAAAGGCTGAAATGATAACATGCAGACTACTCAGGGCTTGTCGTTGCTGAGCTGATGATTTTGTACATTGCCCACCGTCTCTAAGTAGCATAATCCTAGCACAGCTTTCTCATTAATTTGTGAATTAGTTCATTAGCCCATAACAAACAGGTTCTTACATTGCTATATATTTTGTTCCACAGATGAAAAAACTGACTGGAAAACAAACTAAAATTTGTTCCAAGAAAGTCACAAAATGCTACCAAAGGCCACAAGCCTTTTTAAAAAGATCTCCAGCTCTCAACAGTTATGCTTCAGCTGAAGTTGTTTCCCGTTATACACTTTCCCATGGTCCACCCTCCATCAGTAACTTACAACAAACAGTATCTGGAATATGAAGGCATTTAAGCCTCATGTTAGCTCTTAAGGGCAGCAATACAATTTAAACACAAGGCAACATAACAACATAATAAAGTTGAGGTTTTTTTGTCATTCAAATAACTATTCAGAATTTGTTCATATCAGACACTTCAATTTCAATGCATAAAATGACATACCTTGTTTATTAGATGCTCAGTGACCACTTCTCTTAGTCCAGTGTAGAGTTTTTCGCCGTGTTTATGCAACACCATTGTATATGCATTCCTATACAGCTCCTCAAAGCTGAGACCACTATTGTTCTTACGCTGGATCTCTTGGATTGCATTTTTTAGAAGATCCCAAATGCTATTCACATATTTCTCATCCATAGTCATCTGTAAAAATAAAACAATACATTATTGTTTAGAATAAAAAAAGATCACTACAGAAAGTCATCTATAGAAGTTGTAACTCCAGGAGCAATAATTGCTTCTGCCACATTTTGCTGATTCCATTATCACAAGGCTTCTCAAGCTTTATCAAAAGAAAAAACAGTACTTATGAAACCAGGAAGTATTTCAAGAAATAGTTATGAAAATTATAATTTGTGAAAGCTTAATGCTTTTCTCCTTCAGAGCTGCAAATCCACAGAATCCAGCTCCAGCCTGTACAGGCTGGAAGGCAGGTAATCACGGACATGAGTCCCTTCCCTACTCTTGTTCCACAGTGCTAACAATGACAGTCAGTTAACTTTCCTCCCATACTAACACACTACTTGGCACCTCACAAATCATACAGAAACACTCATCTGCTCAATCAGCCCCCAATGAACTTGTACAATAACAGATAATAATGTCTGACACAGAGTTAGCAAACTTAGTCATCTGGTCGAGCTAACTAGGTATTCTTTATTTACAGCAATGTACTAATAACCAGAGAATAACATGCCTAAAATATTGTGCCTACAATTTAAATACTTACAGGTGTTGTTGACAAACCTCACAAATGCCCAAAATTAACATCTCTATTGAACATATTTCCATTGCACAAACATGGTTAAATAACTCGTTACAGGACATGCATCAAGCAATAAGCAGAATATGCTTCTGCTTGATCTGTTATTCAGACACTATATACTTCAGCAAATACACCAAATGAAAACTACAGCAACAAAGAAAAATTTAGAGAAAGAGAGGAACTCTCATAAGAAATAGTCTCAACATAACAGCAAATCAACTTTTGTCCTCTACTGTCTAGTGCTTAGTGTGAATCAGTTTACAACTGTGATTTAGCAATGCAAAGGTGCTTCAAAATATAATGTTTTACAGATAAAGCAGTATCCAGGATGGCAAATAAGTATAGCAACAAAATATCAGCTGTCAGTATCCCTTAAAAGTTTGTGATTGAGCCAAGTTTCATCACCCAACTGAAAAAAAAAACAAAACAAAAAACCTTCTTAAGTGAATCAAATTTAAAATGCAATGTTTAAAGTTTGGTTTAGCTTATACAAAAGGGAACTGCTCTACCACTATATAGCTAAAGAAAAAGTCTGAAAAGAATAAAAAAGCCACTATTCCCAGAGTTACTGTAGAGAAAGAAAATATCCCTGAGTCAACCAATACTGTCAAAGTAGTCTTGAAAATAAGAGCTGAAAGTAGTAAAAAAGTAAAGAATACTGGTAAGACATTATAGAGGAAAATCATGACCAGCCCTGGTCTACCACTCTTATCCCTCCCCTTCCACCCAAAAATCACAAAGTGGTAGATTTGCCTGCATTTATAATCAAATTCAACAATTAGCAGAATTTTTTTCATTAAAAGTACATTTTAACATGAGATTTCAAAATATTACATTTTCTAGGCATTATGAATAAAAGTACAGCTCATAGTAAGGATAAGCCCTTCACTGCCTCGGGAGGGAATGGGTTGCTGAACAAAACTGAAACAAGACACATACTCCTCAATCCTCCTCATCTTTCAGAGTGTTGGTTAAACACAAAGATTTTCATGATAAAAATAATCCTATCACTACTTTTTCCATTCTCTCGATACCAGATCCACTAGCCTACTAATCTGTACGTACCAAAAACTTAAGAGATATGTCATTGTATATCTAACATAGTAATAATAATAATTTAAAAATTACAAACACATTCAAAAATTCTTAGCTCCCTATCCCCCAAACCCAAAACCTCAAAGTAACAGAGAAATGGTGGAATGCCATCCCCCCCTGCTTTTCACTTATTCTGCTTTGTATAATATTGGCAGGTCAGTTATTTTCTTTTGAATTTGCATTTGCTACATTGATGCCTCTTCAGGGAAATTATGTTCTAAAGCCTTCCTGAACAAGCAATTTTAAAAGTACTGATAATGAAGGCAACCATTTAGAATTGCAGACAGCAATCCAAGTAAAAGCTTTTCAGTTTTTCTTAAATTAAAAAAAAAAAAGTTTTGTTTTCAAACAAAGCATAGACTCAAACCAACACTTCCCGATGTCATTTTCTCCCCTTGCTAATAAAAAAATCTCCCAGTCAACATGACAACTTTTTTATCTCAACTGCAATTTAACTGCTCAGTGTATTTAAAGAAGAGTAGGATCTGTATGAAACAGGCAAACCAGTAGCCGCTAGTCTGAAGAGGTATCACAGCATTCTGTTTCCAGGTTGGTCAGTCAGTAAACGTTTCTGTATGTTACAGACAAGCAGTACATCTAGTAATTCGCATCTGTTCAAGAAAAACCTAAAAGTGAACTGTTTCATTCTTCCACTTTTAATCCAATTGCTATAAAAAATGAAGGAATGATTGTAACATTATTTGCTCCAAACTCACTGAGTAAAAAATATGAACACAGAGCTCTCTGACACTTCATAATTGACACACCATGAACTGCTCTGGAAGCACAAGAAAGATCCATAAAAGGTAATTTTGAGGACTACACATCTCCATGGGATAAATATATGGAAATATTTAAGTGGTATTATAAACTTATCTTATTACCTTTTAAGATTAGGTAGGAAGGAGACTGCTTCTCAGTGCAGCTTCCTATTCTGCTACTGACTGACTTTAGATTAGTATCTGTGAGGTTTTGTGGGAAGAACAGGTTTCCTAAAGTTCTAGGATATCAAGTTAGAAAAGCACCATCTTCCAAAACAGTTGTAGCATAGCTAGCTTGTTTGCAGCAGTGTTTTCTAACAAAGCAAAGACTCCTAACACATTAAATAACTCGGCTCTGTTAAACAGTAAGTCACTGCAGTAAAGCTTTAGCAAAAATTTGTTATTTCCTCTCCACTGATGAAAAGTTGTTTAGCTTTTTGAACATAAGACGTCTTCCCGTATCCTCAAAGTCATGCAAGAATTGCCATGACTAAATATACCCTTGGGTTATTTAACTCACAGGTTCATCTCTTTTCATCCCCTTTCATTAAGTCACACTTGTACGGAGATTTTCAAAAGCCAAACAACTAAGCAATAAATAAGTCTGTGATGTTACTAGAACATTTTGGCATCTTTCAGAATTCTGTGCAAAATCATCTCTAAAAACACTACTAAAGAACTGCTATTCTAATCCCTGAGCCTGACCCAACAGTGAATATTTATGCAGCTCTCTATATCCCTACCAACAAAGCCTGTATATTCCTCAAATAATACAGGATCAGTATCCAAATGTTTTTGCATGCTCATTTTCAGATTTCTTCTAACGGTTGTATTTTAAAAGTGAACTCCAGAGTTGTAACATAGTTGCCTTGATTGTGTTTCTGTTCTTGCAGATTTAAGCAGAAGCTAGATTACTGCTTCTGCTGGTGCTTTGGGGGGAAAAACAAAACAAAACACACAAACACCCAAGTTCAGAAAAGCTTTCAGTAGCAAAATCCCAGTAATTTCATAGTGCTTACATCCAGATTCACCAAGATAGTAAGAAGTCAGTGTCCAAAGAGAGGAAATATGTTAATGTACTCCAGTTTATCTGAACATTACCTTTCTTGGGGAATGGGAAAGCGATCAAGTCTGCTATTGGCAGGAGAGACAGCTGTTTATAAAAAGCCGTCAGTTGGAAAACTTCCACAAACTGCTGCCCAAACACTAACGATTCAAAGATGCAACTTGAACACAAACATCTGAACTCAAAGTGCAGCAAAAGTACATCTTGAGGAAATTAAAATATCAGTGTACATGAAAGTGCAATCGTTTCACCCCCCAAAAAAGTCTGCACAGGAGTCAGAAGGTCCTTTATTCCATAATATTGCCACAGTGCAGGATCAGATACACGCAAACCCTTTCTTTAACAATGTTTGACTACCCTACTAAAACCTCCAAGGCCAAATAAACAATCACCATCAGGAATCAATTGCCATTATCACCTGAAGGGCACAAGAACACAGGCAGGTAAAGCTAGTAACAGCCCTGAATATACTTCTCAGTGTCTCCCTCCTAGAACCTAACACTACAGTCACCACTCCTTTTGAATAACTTTATCAGTATTCCTTAAATCAAAAGGGGCAAACATTGCAGGAAAACGCGTCACAGGATAACCAGAGGTGAGCAACAGAATGCTTGTGGTCACCAGTGGAAGCAGACATTTGTTCCCTGGCTTACACAAACTACAGTCAAAGAACAACACTGAAACTCCCAGATTCACACAGAACATCAAACAGATCAACTGCTGCAAATCCAGATCACTTTGCATAGAATTAGATGCTTTGGGGTCTAATTTCCATTCTGTACAATTTAGCTTTTACAAGACTTTCATTTGAACGCAAATTCATTGCAAATTCTTGTCAGTTGGTCATTTTGCCCTTAACACTACAGAACTTGCTCCTCTTACTTTTATATCCATGCTGAAAGTGCTGTGAATGGTAAGGAAAGGCAGTTACAGGAGTAAACTTAAGAACCTGGTGAATTCTTGATGGTTTACACCAGCTTACTTTTACTGGAAACAGCTACTTAGTCTTTTTAAACAAGATGTGGTTAAGAAAGAAGTGATGAAGAGGTAACATGTCCTACAGAGTATCCACAGAGGTTTACCAACCAGCAGGAACAGGAGGCATGTGAAATAGTACTCACAAAACTAGTGCCTAGACACGGCTCCTCATCCTTCTTGCAGAAGTTTCTAGACAAGTTCTATAAAGTTCTCACAAAGATCTCAGACCAAACTGGCCATTGATATTTCCCAGAAGTTTTAACAGACTGTAAACACCCTCGCAGGACACTTTTACTTTAAAAAAGTTGCAAACATTACTACTGAATTTTTCTACAGACAAGCTGCAGACTGTTTATCACAATTCTACACACTACCAAGTGAAACAGATCAATTTGAAAATAATTACTGTGGAGCAATGTTTCTCAAAATTTAAAAGAAACTCAACCATCACTATGGGCAAAAACTGGAACACCGGAAGTT